TAGAAAGCCTCATCTTTCTCCCGCGGAGCAGCTGGTAGTTTCGAACCGCTGACCTTAAGGTTCGCAGCCCAATTCGTAACCACTACGCTACCAGTTCACCACTATCCATTCACAATTTCTCCATCACTTGTTCGTTTACTTTGGCTGTATATTTCACCTTGGGTTACTATTCTTACTACCGATATTGTTTCATCCCATCAATTTAGTCTCTTTGCCCCCTTAAAGTTCTCATCTTTGCTTTAGGCTAACTGTTGTCACTTTAAACTCAGATAGATAATTCTTACACAAGAGTGCTATGCTCAAGACAGACATTCTTTATCAATTGGGCTAAACTGTTATTTAGTTTAATGAGGACTTCAGGGGATAATTTTTGTGCAAGGTTAAAACATTATTACCAAGCATTAGATATGAGTTTCCTCAGTCTTAAATGGATCCAGCAAGTCTCATTTCCATATGAATTTGAAAGTCTTTCTGACACTTCTCCTCATTTTGATCAGGATCCATCTGTTGGACCCTTGATCAAAAAATTAAGTAATAATAATTAAAAAAATGAAGTACTAGCTGGGCACCATTCTTTTTTTTCTGATTTCATTCACCACAATTTAATAATCTTGAAACCATTCTGTTTCACTCATTTGCATCACCTTCCTAGCCTCTCTGGGTGTTTGGGATCCCCATACTACTGCTGTATGTCCTAAACTTACCTATTAGGAAACTAAGCATCCAAAGTCCTGTCAGGGAGTAAGACTTTGTTTCACAGTTCCAGGTGCTGCTCTTGTACAGACCGCAGTGGGGCCCTGATTGTCATTTAACTAGAATTCTTTTCAGCCAAACTATCTACCCACCTCTTCTGAATCCACATCCTTTTTTCACCACCTGCCCATTTCCCCTTCTAAAATAAATGACAGGACTCACCTACTTTGAAGGGACCAGGAGATTGGTGTTTAGGCAATCTGGAAGCTGTGCAGTGATTTTGGCCAATACAATAGTGTATGTATTGATACACACTATCTGGCCGTGTGATTTTGGCCAAATTGTTAAGTGCCATTGAGTTGGTTCTGACTCTTAACAACCCTGTATAAGATTCCCAAGGAGTGCCTTGTAGGTTTGAACCTCCAACCTTGTGGTTAGCAGTCCAGTGCTTATCCTACAGCACTACACCAGGACTCCATAACCAAGGTTAGAGCCAAAATATTACCTCATTAACTTTAGTCAGCACATTTGGAATTGACTGTAATTTCTGGTTTGATTGTCTTGGAAAACTATTTCCTCCAAGAAAGCTTTCTTTAGATTTAAAAGAACAAGACAGAGAAATTATTAGGAACTGAAAATTTTGCCAAAAATGTGCTCTTATGGTTTGATCATAAGGTATTTTATTAGGAACTTTTGATTTTTCCAAGATTTTCACTCTTTAGAATGATTTTCTTGTCCAAGGGTATTCTAAATATCTCTCCAGAAGAAGTAGTAAAGAACAGACAAATGTTTGCTACTGAATGTAAATTAGAAAAAAAAACTTTTGAGATAAACGAAATGTCTTGAAATACTTAAAAAATAAAATCTACAATTATGAAATGATAGCAATCCTAGCAATAATTTAAATATATGAATGCAGTGTTGTTCCAAGTTTCCAAACCCCAAATAATGGGTTGCATACCCACATTCTTAGATCACTGTAATCTATCCCAGGCCAAATTCTGTTCTGCTAATATGCTAACTTCAAAAATTCAGTACAAGCAAAATATCACTTAGAGTTACCACAATAAAAAGGCTTAATGTGTATCCAACTAATTTCTATTCTTACAACACTGGGAAGTCATAATTTTATATTTCTAAAGTCATCTTTTAATTTGTAAAAATAACATGGAAATTAAATACGAGGGTAAATAAAAAAGTATTTCTGCAAAATCATAGAACTCTTCCTTAAAGAAAAAATCAAAATGTGAAACTATTGTTTTTTTTAACATATCTGCCATCTAGGTTTATATACTTTTAAGAGCAATGTTTCCATCTCTCTAACCCGTCACAGTGTGGATAAGAACTGGATTGTTAACCACAAAGTCAGCAGTTCAGACCCACCAGCTACTCCTGAGAAACCCAATGTAGGGTCCCCATAAGTCAAAACTGATTTGCTGGTGCTTAAAAACAACCATCCTTCAAAGAATTCTACACTCTTCGATTTACACCACATCAAAACAGCAGTTTGGGCATAGTCAAGGGACTCAAATTGTATGCTTTTTTAATATTCTTTGAGTTTTAGAAACAAAAAGAAGTCTGTAGGGACAGTGTCAGAGCTGTAGGGTGGATGAGGAAAGCCCTTGCTGCCCTCAGAGAATGAGCAGGTGCATTGTCATGATGGAAAACAATGCCTCACTGCAACTTTCCTGGCATTTTTTTCACCAACACAGTTTTCCAAATTCTTTCTAGTAAATCCCTGTGATCATCTTGTGTCCATTGAGAAACTCTGCCAAGATGACCGCTTTGAAGTCCTCAAAAAACAGTCACCATACCCTTCTGCCACCACTCATCTGTCAGTTAAGCGTATAGTGGTGGCTTGTGAGTTGCTGTGATTCTGGAAGCTATGCCACCGGTATTTTAAATACCAACAGGGTCACCCACGGTGGACAGGTTTCAGATGAACTTCCAGACAAAGACAGACTAGGAAGAAGGAGTAACATATTGCTTCCAAATATTTAGTCACTGAAAACTTTAGGAATAGCAGGAGAAACACTGTCAGATACAGTGCCGGAAAATGAGCCCCTCAGGTTGGAAGGCACTCAAAATGCAACTGGGGAAGAGCTGCCTCCTCAAAGTAGAGTCGACCGTGACGATGTGAATGGAGTAAAGCCCGTGGCAGAAAAGCCCACATGACCTTCATTTGTTGATGGGGCACAACTCAAAATGAAGAGAAATAGTTGTAAACATCCATTAATAATCGGAACATGGAATGTATGAAGTATGACTCTAGGAACATTAGAAATTGTCAAAAATGAAATGGAACGCACAAACATCGACATCTTAGGCATTAGTGAGCTGAATTGGCCATTTTAAATCTGACAGTGACATGGTTTACTATGCCGGGAATGATAAATTGAAGAAGAATGGTGTTGCATTCATCGTCAAAAAGAACATATCAAGATCAGTCATGAGGTACAACGCTGTCTGTGATAGGATAATATCCATGCGCCTACAGGGAAGACAAGTTAATACCACTATTATTCAAATTTACGTACCAACCACTAAAGCCAGTGAGGATGAAATAGAAGAATTCTACCAACTTCTTCAATGTGAAATTAATCAAACATGCAATCAAGATGTATTGATGATTACTGGTGATTGGAATGCAAAGGTTGGTCGCAAAGAGGAAGGATGAATAGTTGGGAAATATGGCCTTGGTGATAGTAATGATGCTGGAGAACGCATGATAGAATTCTGCAAAATCAATGATTTGTTCATTTCAAGTAACTTCTTTAGATAGCATAAGAGACGACTTTACACATGGACCTCACCAGATAGAATACATAGAAATCAAATTGACTACATCTGCGGAAAGAGA